AAAAAAAATTTGAAGGGCAACATGAAAATATTTAATTCAAATACGCACACACCTTTTTAAATGTCTTTTTTACTCAAAAAACAATTTTAATCTAATTTTTTGAGTCGAAAAGACATGAAAACATAAATAAAAAAAACAACCAAACTACAAATACTTGACTTGCACCAAAAAAAATGTAATTAGACAAAATAGATGCAATAGTTTATGTTGTTCAATTGTCTTGATTCAATGTTTTTTTTAGGGAAAGATTCAATGTATTTAGTTTGACACTAAATAATTATTTGCAGTTTTTTTGAGGAAAATAATTATTTGTATTAATTAAGGGTCTGTTCATATTTACTTAATTTCAGTTCAGTTCAGTTCAATTCATCTCTAATCAATTCAGTTCAGTTTAATTCAGTTCAGTTCAACTCCAATCAGTTCAGTTCAGTTCAATTCAGCTCTTAATTTTCCTCTCTCATAAAATATTCATTTCAGCTCAATTCAGTTCAGTTCAGTTATGCTCCAATCAGTACAGTTCAGTTCTGCTCCAATCAGTTCAGTTTAGTTCAGCTCCAATCAGTTCAGTTCAGTTCAGTACAGCTTAGTTCAGTTCAGTACAGCTTAGTTCAGTAAATGTGAACAAGCCCTAAATGAATGTTAATTACGAGTACTAGAAAATACGTACTAGTAATGCTTAATTTCAAGCATTAATATAATATTTAACCCTTTGTTAAGAGAGAATGTCCTCTATTTATAGATAGAGAATAATGGATAAAGAATAAAATATAACACTAGTGATGAATAATAGTAATACGGTTCATTTAAAACTTATATTCTCCTTAGATATTAATATGAATATTCCAAAATCTAAATACTTATAATTAGGGGTGAACAAAAAATCAAGGTACCCTGAAATGGAACCGGAACCTGCTAGGAATCGGTGGTTCTGGAACCGAAACCTGTACAAGAGGTTCTGGTTCCGGGTAGCAAACTGGAGAACCTGTAGTAACAGGTTCCGGTTCAGGTTCTCAATTTTTTGGAACCGGAACCTGTAGGGTATCCTGTACCTAATAAAATATCACTTAATTTCAAATTATACACTAATTCTTACTCAATTTTTAAATAATAAATATCAAAATTACAATTATAAAAATATATATATTAAATTTATTAGACAAGTACTATTAGTTTGTCTTATTTGCAAGCTGCAAACATTATAAATTAGTGACCAACCAGTTTTTTATTAAAAAATCCGCAAAAAAGTTTGTGAGTATATTATAATACAAGGTACCTTGAATCAGAACCGGAACCTGTAGGTTCTGGTTTCGGTTCCCAATTTCCAGGAACCTGTTCAACAGGTTCCAGTTCCGGTTCCCATTTTGAGGAACCTGTTGCAACAGGTTCCAGTTCCTGGAATTTTTACAGGGTACCCTGTTATGCTCACCCCCACTTATAATCAAATTTAGAATATCTTTTTTTGTTCAAAAAAAAAATATAATAAATTCAGAGTATCTTTTAAAATTAAATGTCAACCTTAATTTAATAAAAAATAATTATACTACATATTTTTTTTATATACTACATATTCATAAATTGATAAAAAGATAATTATATTGGAAAAAAAAAATAAGTAAAGAAAGATTTAGTCAAAGATAACTACTAATCAACCCTACCTCCCAAATCACGAAGTACTAATTTATTTATTTATATGTATTTTGACAAGCATTTTTTTTTCTATGAAAGTACAAGGCTAATTAATTTTTTTAAACTAATATTTCTTTTCTTTTTTTTTCAAATAATACCATTTTCTCTTTTTCCTAAATTATGGTTGTATGGTTTTAGCTAAAATATTTAGATTGATTATATAATCTCAAAAAAAAAAAATCGTATAAAACCTTTTGATATTTCTTCAAAAAAAAAATCCTTTCTACACAAAATGCAAAATGCTAAAATCATGGAAGTTTTTCAACTTATTTGTTATTTATTTTTGTACAAAACTAAAAGAAAAATATAAAATAAAATAAATTCATCTTCAACATAAACAGACACCCATCTTAAACAATGGCATTGTCGATTCAAGCTTTAACAATGGGGTTACTAAAAACTCATATGACAAATTAAAATTTAACATGAAATTATATGACAAATAAAATTAAACATAATATTATAAAATATTATGCTATTGCTTTAATCAAATTGTGTATACATATACTTACATTGATTTAATATCATAAATTAATTTTATATTGACGCATAAATATGATGAAAACATTATTCTTATTGATATCATATATACGAATGAATTTTGGATGAAAAATAAGGTTAAAAATTAATGATGAAGTACGTCATTAAAGAAGGTTGAAACTATTAATATGAGTTCTCCTCTTAAAAATAATTGTTAACTATTTTATAATTGACTTGGATGGTTTTTTTTATAATATTGTAAATTGGGGGAAAAAAAATTAACCTTCTAAAAGTATGAAAACAAACAACAGTTTGCTGACTGGTCATGACTTAAATGATGTGTAAATCAAATTTTTAATTTTTTTTGAAAGTGTAATATTTAAAGGCTAAGATTAAGCAAAAAAAAAAATAATAAACGACGCAGATTTAATTTCTTATCATAGTCGTCCATAGTCGTGCGTAGTTGTTCGTAGTCGACGACTACGGTAGAACCATCCTATGATATGATCTTGTATGATTAGTGTATATAGAACCTTTTTAGGATAACTTTCGGTCGTTTTGAGATAATTTTTTATTTTGTGTAGAACTACCTTAAAGATAGGATCATTTGTGAACAACTACCCATTTTTTTTATTTGTTTAGAAATACCCGCAAGTTTTGAAAAGTTTGGGTAGCACTACCCACCAACGTTTTTCGTCCCATTAAAACGTTATTTTGGCCCAATTTTTTACTTTTTTCAATTACAATGGTCAATTAATGTTAAAATAAGCAAAAACCCCGATTCAACTAAACTCCCAAACCTTAGAAATTAAAATCCCCAAATAATACTACACTCATGAACCCTAAAATAAATTTTGATGAAAACCTTAATTAGGTTAATTAAGGTAAATTAAAACCTTTATACAAATTGGGAGAGTTAATTGAGTGGCAAAAGTGATAAAAGTGAGCTCCAATAACGTCTTAATTGGACGAAAAATGTTAATAGGTAGTGCTACCCAAATGTTTTCAAACTTGTAGGTAGTTCTAAACAAATAAAAATAAAATGGGTAGTTGTTCACAAATGACCCTATCTTTAGGGTAGTTCTACACAAAATTTCCTTTTTTTTTATAGATATCTATGTTTTTTTAAGGAAAAATTCACATTTATTACCAGCAAAAACACCACGTATCAGATTTACTATATGTCTAAAAAAATATTTTATATTACTACCACCATAAATCCCTAACTTTAGAAATAACTACTAGTGACTAACCCCGTTACTGTTTCTGTTTTAGGGGCCCATAACAACAACTAGTTAGGTCTAGCAACCGTTAATTCAACCACCTTGCAGCCACCCTTCACTTCACTGCCACCTGTCCCCTGAACTGCCACCCCTTGCCGGCGCCGACACGACCCCACCCCCACCCCTACACAGCCAACCCCTCCCTTTTCCTGTTCTTGTTGCCCCCACTTTAGCTCCCCTGCTCAAACCCACCACCCACACCTGCACCCGTTTGAGCGTACCCACAACCCCCCAATTGCAACAACATCCGATTAATCATAATCCCAGCACCTTCATTCAAAGCAAGAAGAACCCCACCAAAAGCTGTAGAACGAGCCGACGATCTAAGACCCTGACGCATTTGAAGGAACCCACCAGTGGCAGCTCCGGCGAAGATTGAATTCGTTTTGGGTGGTTTTGGGGAGGTAGTTTAGGGTTAGGCATGGCCGAAAGGGTAGGGGAAGGGGGGTCAATTTCGACGGGGGGAATAGGGAGGGGGCAATTTCCGGTGAGAGGGGAAGGGAAAGGGGGTGGTTTCCGCGCGGTTTGGGGTGGGGGTAAGGGCAGCAAGAACGGGAAAAGGGAGGGGGTTGGCTGCGTAGGGGTGGAGGAAAGGGAGGGGTGGGGTCGCGCCAGCTGGAGGGAGGGGGTGGGGTCGCTCCGGCCGCCGGCAGGGGGGTGGGAAGGGGTGGCAGTTGAGGGGAGGGGGTGGCTGGGTTACATTTTTTTTTTGAAAAATCTTAATTATTATTTTTATTAATAAACTTAACGGAACTTTAACGGATTCCGTTAAGTGGTAGTAAAATTTTAATTATGTGATTCTGGGTGGTAGTAATATAAAATATTTTTTAAGACAGGTAATAAATCTGATACGTGGTGTTTTTGCTGGTAGTAAATGTGAATTTTTCCTTTTTTTAATGTAAATAACCATTGAGATTTAAGTTTTATTAGGGTATTATAGTCACTTTCCCTCACTAAAATTTGATTTATACTCATTTAAGAAAAATTCTTTTTATCAATAAAGCATAAATAACTTATATTTATATCGAGGGGACTTTTTATTCAAATTGGGGCAACTTTTATTTATTTTGGTTGTTGTAACTATTATTTATCTTTAAAACAAACTATACAACAAAAGTACAATAATTATTGTACACCCGATTTTCTTACATGTTTGAATATTTATAATAATTACTACTAACGATTATAAGGATTTTGCTAATGAAGTTGCAAATGTAAGATATTTTGGTTCAATGCAAGAAAAATAGGGCCCAACTTGTTTTTTAGTAAATAATATTGATTGAAGCTGTTGAATAAATTGTAAAAATTATAAAAACTTGATATTAATAAAATATACAATATGAACGAGGAAATTTTATTTATTTTGATGGTGCAATTAAGAATTTTGGTACTTAAAAGGTGGTTTAGTAAATAAAAAAAAAACATAAAAGGTGGTTTAGTAAATAAAAAAGTTAGACAAAAAGATTGTTTATACCAATTTTGCCTATTTTTTACTCTAATCTTTTGTTGAACGAGGAACTGCTAATGATTAATGTACGTATAACGTTGTAGAAAAAGATTTTCTAGAGAAACATTCTCAACTAATGAAGTCTCTAGTTTACAAGCGTGACAAAGAGGGCTTCACTCCTATTTTAAGAGCAGTACAAAGTGGCCGACTCGGGATGGCTAGGCTTCTTGCTCAACAGTTTCCTGCATCCATTGGGCTTAGAGATGATAAAGGTCAAACAATTTTGCACCACCTAAAGGCTTTGGTGGTAGACCTTGCTGATGATTTGAGAGATATATTACCGGTTTGGAAGGATTTCTTCAAGTTTTCTGAGGTTGATGATCTTAGAATTGTACAAAATGAAGATGGGAACACTCCCTTGCATTTAGCCATTGTTGATGCGGATTATACTAAAGCAAAATTTCTCATGGAAGTGTGTCTCCAGTCAAAAAACAAACAGGAATTAAACATTGTTAATAATGATGGTCAATCAGTTTTTGATTTACTCTCAACACGAGCCCATTTGCCTACCATGGTGCGTAATGCTTCTACTCCATCTCTCTTTCTATATGTATCTTTAATTTGTGTAGTTATGGATTCACTTGCAGCATTTGTTAAAACTTAAAAGTATCAAATATGGATGTAGCTAGCAATTGATGTACCTCTTAGAAGCTTGGAATGCATCGATTGCTTGTATTTGTTAATAGAAAAAGTTATGCATCCGTTTACAAGAAATTGATGTACCTCTTACAAGCTTGGAATAAGCAATTGATAAACACTTTTATCTTCTGAAAATTGGACAATGCTAATAAATTTTCGTTTTTAATTACTTGCTTGTGCAGAAGCCACTGCTACCATTGGTAAGCAGAAGCAATGTGAAAGAGAGGGAATCAATGGATAAATTGATGAATGAAGATCTCTACAAAACAGCTGTAGAAGGAAGTACTGAAAAATTTGAGAAGGCTATGGCTGAAGCTCATACAGAAATCGATGTGGAAAGTGGGCAAATAAAACTTGATGAGGAATACTTTTGTCGTCAAACACCAGGTGGAAATAATATTGTTCACATAGCTCTTAGACATGGAAGTGCAAATGCAGATCAATTTGTTAAGATTGCTGTAGAACACTTCACGAGTCTTAGCATGCGACCGGATAATAATGGAGACACGCCCCTTCACCTTGCTGTGAAGTGCAAGGACAGTAAGTCAGGGGAATTACTAGTAAATGCATCCAAAGGTTTTCTAGGCGAGTTAGATGAAAGACGGAAAGCATTTTATGTTGCCCCATGGGCTGTGAAAAATAACAAAGGTAACTTTCCGATTCATGAGGCTTTACAGACCAACAACCTCAATGATGCGTTCACCCTGCTTAAATGTGACGATGAGGCCGCCTCTCGTGTGAATGACTTAGGCGAGACTCCACTCCATTCCTTTGCCAAGAATGGCTTTTCTATTAGTAAGTCTCTTTTCCAACATTATGTTTAATCTTATATTTTGTTTTAAACCCTTGACCTTATGTCAAAAAAAAAAAAAAAAAAAAAAAAAAAAAAAAGAGCCCAATTTCTCATAGTAAAAAATAAAATTTGTGTCTCATATGACATTTTCATAAATAAACCAACAAATTTATTCAATTGTGAAGCCCACAATAATGAAAAGTTGTTGATTTATTCACGAAAGTGCTCCTTAGAAACAAATTTCGTTTCTCAATACGGGGAATATCCCAAAAGAAATTGAAAATATGATTTGAGTTTCATAATCATAATTGATTTTAGATTCTATCAACATAATGGGTTAAACGTATATATCATGCAGCTGTTGAAAAAGCAGACGAGTTTGTGAAGAGATTACGTGATACGAGCAGTCAAGCAGCTTATATACGAGATGATGAAGGCCTAACCCCATTGATGTGCGCAGCTAGGTCTGGTTGTTTCAGTGTTTTACGTGCTATACTTGAACAACATCCTCAATCAGCATACCTCCTAGATTCAAGTGGCAAGACTTTTTTGCATTTGTTGCGTTTTACGGGTGAGGATGCTGATAGGAAGATGTTATTCGATATCCCTGAAGCTGATGCACAAAGATTAGTGCAAGATTATGACGGAAACACACCCCTTCATCATGCCATTCAGACTGAGAACACTGCAGCTACAATTTCATTAGCTAAAAGATGTTTAGAGACGAAACTAACAGAACTAGAATTGGCAAATAAAAGGGGACAAACAATTCGGGATTTACTTGCATTACATGATGTCCCAAATGAGGTATGTGTATTATTATTTGTTTGCTTGCATGCATTAGCATCGTCGAGCCTTGTTTAATTCACCTTATTTTTGCTTATCTATTCTGATCTGATTGTCTGATTTTACCAAACATTGCAATAGTGTACAAAGAAAAAATATATCAAATATAGTTCTATTAGATTTGTAATAATGTACTACCTCCATTTCATATTAGATGTCATTTTGGATATTATTTGTGAGAAATAGAAAATTTAAAAGTTGCATCATGAAGCTGAGCTAGTATATTTTTCTAAGAAAATTTTGTCAAAGACCCTTCTCATAATTTATTATTATTATTATTTTTTTTTTTTTTTTTTTTTTGTCAAAAACCTCTTTACGTTTTTGGACATCATACCTTATGTTGGAAAATGGGGTTCGACCCTGTTTTTCAACGTTCACTACACTATGTGCTAGGCACATGCTCACTCAATACCAAACCCCTTTCTTTTTTTTCCCTTATCCATTCCGGTTACACTTTCTTTCTCCTCAAATCTAATTTTTTTTTACTACCTCCGTTACATATTATTTACAACGATTTGACATAAAGTAGAGAGGGAAAATGCTAATCATTGCAAATAATATGTAACGGAGGTAGTTTATTTTTTTATCATAAAATTAAAGATTTTTAGTGATAAAAAAGCGCACATAAAACGATGATATAATAAACTTATTTTTTATCAATTGAATTCATATGATTTCACTTTTTAGAAATATAAGCAAAAAAAAAAAGTGAATTAGACCCCAATTGTTTCTGTATTATTGTTTTTTGTTTAATACTTTTCATTACATGCAACAGATAGTAAAACAAATTCGGTATAAAATGCCGGAGGCAGTGTACTTAGCTAAAAGATCATACGGTATTTGCAAGACAGATACGAAAGAGTCTGCCAATGCTCTCTCTGTAGTTGCTGCCCTGTTAGCAACCATAACTTTTGCAGCTGCCTTTCAAGTACCTGGTGGATTTAATGGCGATGACGGTTCTCCTATTCTTTTGGAAAAGACGGCATTCATCATTTTCGTTACATCAAACTCAGGTGCAATGTGCTGCTCAATGCTTTGCCTTTTCTTACTACTTTGGGTGATGGTTATTGGCAACATTCACGACTCTCTCGGGATATTAGATATCGCTATACACTTGCTTCGTGCATCCTTCTACCTCACATTGCTTACATTCACAATGGGTGTGTTTGTGGTTACTGCTGAAAAGAGTTTATGGTTGGCTCTCTTGGTTTGTGGACTCTGCTTCATTACCTTCCTTCTTACTTGGAAGCAATCAATCAGTTTGGTTGCTAACAATGGCGGTGGTTTTGCTACTGCTATTAACAAGTTTAAAAAGTTCACTGTGGAACCAATTCAAGAGCAATTCAACAAGTTTAAAAAGTTCATTGTGGAACCAATTCAAGAGCAATTCAACAAGTTGAGAGGTCGATGCTATCGTAATCACGACAGTGTTGAGGAGCAGAGAAATTAAAAGAGAGCGATGCCATCGTAATCACGGTGTGTCAGGTATGTTCCTTGTAGCGTTGCTAGCCATGGGACATCCAATAACAAGTGTGTTAGGAGGGTTAAGTTTTTATTGTGTGGTATTGATTTTGATTATACAATATCTCATATGAGGGTGATTAATTTCTTAATCTTGCAAAGGTTATTGGCTTATTGTACACCCAAATTAAGGATTTTATTTGTTCACTTTTGTTAACATATATATTATGCACACTATTAACAAACATCCTCTGTTTTATAAGTGATCTACTTTTCTTTAACCGTCGTTTGTTTTATTTAAGTGACAAATTTTTCATAAGATGTCAACAATGAATGTCATCAGTAAGTAATGGCAGTCAATTTAACAGCTAACCATAAAGTTGAGAGATTTGAGTTGGGTAAGCTTAATACAAGTAAGAAACTTCTAATGTAACTAACATTTAACATTCCTTGTGTTTGGGTACAATTTAGTCCAATTGGGCCTAGTCATTAAATGATCCAATTAAAAGCCCAAGGTCAAGTATAATCTCTCCAATTGTGCTAAAGTCAAGATCAGTCCACAAGGCAAGTCAATTGGGCCAAGGCTCACATCCCCCATATATGCAAAGGTATAAAAGCCATCAATATCACATTTGTACATTCATTCAAAAAAGCCTCAAGCAATTAATTCTCTTGCATAACTCTCTCTCTCTCTACACATTGTACTGACTTTAGCATCGGAGGGGCCTTCCTCGGCAACACCCCCGAGGCTAGTTTACGTGTGCTTGCTGTGCGAGAAACCCTCGGCCCAACATCACTTGGACCGAGCCCAGTCTTCACCATTTCATCGGACCTTCGGCAAGGTCCCATTGTTTGCACCTGAAACAATTTGGCGCCGTCTGTGGGAAAGACTTTCAAACATCTTTAAGCCAATCAAAATCATCTTGCAATCAACTTAGTAGCAATGGCTAAGAACCGCAAGAACAAAAGCCTCCGTCCAGGAGCAGGCGAAAGGCCTAAAACTCCTACACCATCACCCTCGCCGGACCGAAACTCGTCTAAGGGTGCTAGTTCGGGGGAGGATCGTACCGGGAGGAGTCCCTTTCTCCCATGATACACAACTCCCATCATAGACCGAGTCCCCTTTAGTCTAACAGAAGTCAGTCCGATCACGGGACTCATTCAGTTCCCCAAAGCCAGCCTTTGACCATCCGCTCTCATTCTCACACTACTATAAAACATGTTAATTGCGACGGAAAATTTTCGTCGGAAACACCTTGTTTTCCGTCGAAAAACCCATTTACGACGGAATTCCGTCGTAACCGGTTGTCGGAAAAGTTGTTGTCGGAAAAACACCCTTTTCCGACGGAATTTCCGTCGTAAATGGGTTTTTCGACGGAATTTCCGACGGATTTCAGTCTGCCGAGAGTATTTTCAAGCCCGGCAAAGTCCCTCGGAAAATTTCGACGGAATTGAATTCCGTCGTAAATTCTCGACGGAATTTCCGTTGGAAAATGCTTTAAAAAAAACAAAAAAAAAAAGGCCACCGCCATGCTGTACCACCGCAAGCCGTCACCCCACACCACCTCACACAACCATCCAACCACACCAGAACATTACCCACCAACCACCTACACCAGATCCACCACCCCACTACCCACCTACAACCTAGCCCTAGCAGACCACCACCGTCATCCATAACCACCCCAACCACCACATCTACCACCGATAACCACCAGATCAACCACCCACCGACAACCTCCAACCACCCAAAACACCCCTGTCAACCCCAACCACACCCACTTTCTAACCCTAACCTATCCACAACACCACCCACACCCGTACCCAGATCCACAGCACCACCACCACAACCACCCTAACCTATCCACAGCACCACCACCACTTTACCCTCACCCTGACCGAACTCTAACCAAAATACCCATACTCCACCCTCACCCATACCCAGATCCACCCACCTAAACACCCAAACCCTAACCCGGACCCGACCGAACCCGACCCCACCTAAGCCCATATCTCACAGCCACCAAAAAACCACTGCAAATGCTAAACGCACGCACATCAGCCACACCCACCACCACCACCGAAATCCATATTTTAAAAAAAAATAAACGGAAACAAAAATCGAAAAATTAAAACATAAAACATACCTGAAATTGAAATATGCTTCGAATTTCAACACGAAAACGGTTTAACAAGGCCAAATTCGGCCATGAAAAGTGTAGATCTAAACTTTTTATGGCCGAATTTGGCCTAAAAAACCTTTCAAGTAGTTGGTTGATGTCATTTGTGTGTTGGTCGTTGATGACGGTGGTGTTTGATGACGGTGGTTGTGTTGTTGTTGATGCCGTGGTGTTTGATGACGGTGGTTGTGTTGTTGTTGATGCCGTGGTGTGGTGGTCGAAAGGAGAACGAGAGGAGGGAGAACGAGAGGAGAGAGAACAGAGAGAAACAGAGGAAAGGAGAATGAGAGGAGAGAGAAGAAGATAAGAGGGAGAAGCAGAGAGGAGAGAGAAGCAGAGGAATGGAGAAGAGAGAGAGTGGAGAGGAGAAGAGAAAAGAGGCGCTTCTTGAAGTTTGTTTAGGGTTTTGTAGCGGAAATGGTTTTTTTTTTAAAAAAATAAATTATGTTCCGACGGAATATTCCGTCGTAAACTTACGACGGAATATAAATCCGTCGGAAAAGGTAATTTCCGACGGAAAATTTCATCGGAACATACAAAAATTACGACGGACTTTTATTCCGTCGGAAATTTCCGACGGAATCGATGAATTCGTCGGAAATTTCCGACGAAAAAAAAATCCGTCGTAAATTTCCCTTTATCCGACGGAATATTGGGTCCGTCGAAAGCAGTCCGTCGGAATTAAGCTATTTTCTAGTAGTGTCACACTCAGGCGAGGACCCCTTTGACGGGGCCCAGCTCGGAAGAGGTGGCGAGAGCGTTGGCAGTGCTCATGGAGGCGATGAGGGCACAAAATATGCATCCACCTCGTGATCGAACTCCTCCGCATACCAGGAACCAGCGGAGGAAGCTAGACCGCGACGGGGGAAAACCTCCCTCCTTCCAGGAGCTGGAAGAGTGGGAAGAGGATACTTGGAAAACTGAAAGAGAGAGGAAAAAGAACCCTCAATTTTTCAGAGGATCCTCAACCTCTCGGCCAGAAACGCACAAGAGCAGCAACTCAGCCTCTCGGCCAGAATCTGCCCACCGAGAGCGACCTAAGACTGTTCGCCGAAGCGTGCTCGACCGACTCGGTGGCAGGGAGCCGAGTGTGCACAGCCGCCTCTCGTTCCCTGTAGCCGAGGCCCAGACTTCCCAGCTAGGGACGAAAACCACTCCTACCTCTCTAAGAGGGCGGAGCGCAGTTCCTTCGGCCAGGAACAAAGGCAAGGCCGTTATGCTACCCACCAGTTCCCCATTCGAGCAATAGATTCTGGAAGAGCATGTGCCCACGGTTAAAATATCGTCGCACATTACATACGATGGGACTTCAGATCCGAAGGACCACGTCGCCTCGTACGAGGCTCATATGCATCTTTGCCCCAGGTCCGAAGCGACTTGGTGCAAATATTTTCCAACCACTCTCAAGGGGGTCGCGCAAGAGTGGATCTCCAAGGGAGTGAAACAAGGCTCAATCACTGGGTGGGACGATCTGTCCTCCAAATTTAAGAGCAAATTCTCCACGGCAAACCGCCGAGAGAAGACTACTGCAGAGCTCATGGGTCTGCAACAAGAAGAGGTTGAAAGCCTCCGAGACTATCTGACTCGCTTCAGCAACGAGTCGTCCAGCATCTCTCAACTGGACCAAGGGCTGGCAGTTTTCGCCCTTCAGCATGGCCTTAGAGCAGGGCAGTTCTCCGACTTCATGGTCATGAATTCACCCAAGACCTTGGAGGAGGCACTGAATGCTTCGGATAAGTTCATCTGAGCTGAAGAGTGGAACAAAACAAAAACCCAACCTCAATCTGGGGGAGGGAAACAAAAACAAATACCCCCGTCTGAAGGCCAAGGCCAGAAGGCAAAGGGAAAGGCGAAAGCCTCGAAACAATCTTCGGCCAACGAGTCGAAGAAGGAAAAATCTGCTCCTTTTACGGGCAGATACGAGTCCTACACCCCGCTCTCTCTTCCGCGCGCCAAAATTTACAGCGTAACAAAGGAAGAGCAGAGTTACAGAAAGCCGAGACCACTCCTGGAGTGGTATCAGCGAAAAAATAAAAATCAATGGTGCGAGTTCCATGAATCACCGGGACATAACACCGAGGAGTGTATCCAGCTGAAGGACCAGATCGAGGACATGGTCCGGAAGGGATACTTGAAAAAATACATCGCGGATCACCGCGAGAAAAAAGAGGCGAGAAGTCAGCAAAGGACTCTCGACAGGACCTTGACTTCCCCCGGAAGAACAGCAAAAATGCGGAGGGAAAATTCTCTCCAATCAATGTTATCTCGGGAGGAATATGTTCTCGGAGGGAACACAAGCGACACCTTAGGGCTCTGACCCACCGGGTGAACAACGCTGACATTCAGTCTCCTTAGTCGCCGGTGCCGAACATGACGTTCACAGTCGCCGACTGCCGGGGGGTAACATTCCCTCATGAGGACCCGTTGGTGATCATCGCCACGGTGGCCAACCACGACGTCAGCAAGGTTCTTGTTGACGGTGGCAGCGGAGCAAACATTCTGTTCCGAAAGGCCTACAATCAAATTAAGCTGAAGCCCAAGCACCTCACGCCAGTACCCTACCCGGTATCCAAATTCAACGGGGCTTCAACTTATCCAGACGGGAAGGTGACACTTCCTGTCACCATCAGCTGCGATAAGGCAGCCAAGAACGTCATGACCGAATTTTTGGTCATCGATGCTCCTTCAGTATACAACGTGATTTTGGGGAGACCCATAATTCACGAGATCCAAGGGGTCGTCTCAACTTATCATTAGCTGATGATCTACGTTTCAGACGCCGGCTTCCCCGAAAGGATCTTAGGCAGCCAAAAGGACGCCCGAAGGTGCAACTACCTCAAGCCATCCACTAGTCGCCCAGATGACGACGATGAGGATAAGGAAGAGAAAGAAAGAGAGTCGAGCACAAAAAAACCGAAAGGTCTAAGTGCTTCGGCCCAAGGTTCTGTGCCCAGAGAAAAAGGGCCAGAAAAGGAAAAGGCTAGCTCTTCGCCTGAGCCGAAAGACTCAGAGAGCCAGCCGAAGAAGAAAAAGTCTGGGACGCCTGCTGACATAGACAGCAGGCCAGATTGTGAAGAGTCC